GAGGAGGGAGAGGAAGAGGAGGAAAAGGAGGAAGAGGAGGAGGAAGAGGAACAGGAGGAGGAATAGGAGGAGGAAGAGGATGAGGAGGAACAGGAAGGAGGAAGAGGTGGAGGAGGAGGAGGAAGAGAAGGATGAGGAGGGAGAGGAGGAGAAGGAGGAGGAAGAGCAGGAGGGAGAGGGAGAGGAGGAGGAGAAGGAGGAGAAGGAGGAGGAAGAGCAGGAGAGGAGGAGGAAGAGCAGGAGGATGAGGGAGAGGGAGAGGAAGAGGAGGAGGAGGAAGGGCAAGGGCAAGAAGACAAGCAGTCTCAGATGAAATTCAAGCCACTTTAGTTGGCCATGTCCTTGTCCATGGTATGACTATGAGGGAGGCTGGGCAACGAGTACAGCCAAATTTGAGTCGCTTCACCGTCGCCTCCATCATCAGAACTTTCAGGGAGGTGTGGTGGCAAACACATTTATATCACTGAATAAGAGACAATCTTTACCATTCCAATACAATTCCATATTTGAATAAGGTTTGTGTGTGCTCTTTTACTGCCATGCTCACACACATCTTACGTAAGAGTAGGAGAGAGGGGAAAAAAAATGGGGGGAGGGAGGGCGGGGGACCACAAGCAACATGAATTACCAGTTTTGGAAATGTTGTTTTGAATTTATAGCACCAGTGTGTAAGACTATGTTGTAGTGTGTGTATTTTTGAGGGCTTGTGTGTCCTGTCTGAGGGCAAAGTTTGGTTTTTCAGCAAGAGTGAATGGTTTTGAGTGTAGAGCTTCATTTTGACCTGAAAATTGGATGTTTGGGGAATTGGGTGAGACGTTATGGATTTGTGTTTACTGTTTTGAGAATACGAGGCATAGTTTCAAGAAATGTGTTTAAGCAATCAAGAAAAACTGTAATAAATGAAGTGTTATTTTATGTGTTTTTTTTTTTTTTAATGTGTTTAATGTTCAATTACATTGGAATTATTAGAACCATTTAAATTACAGTGGGTTACCATTGAGGAGAAGAGAGGAGCATTTTGTTTGGCTGTGGACTGATTTAATTATTTCAATTATTTGGTTGAATGAGTATGTTAATCTTAGCATTTAAGATGCTAATATGTGCTACTGCTAGCAAATAGCTATAGTCTATCAATTTAATTATGTGTCACTAAAATAAATGAAATTTTAATGGATTAATGAATATAAAGAATACCTGAATCATGTCAGGAAGCCTTTAAAAAATCACTTTGAGACTACTTTAAAATGACTTAATTCCATGATGTTGAAGTTACATGAACAAATTATGTTTGTTTAACGTAACCCAGTTATGTGGAACCTGTTTTTTTTTTTATAAAAGCCAACATGTCATTTTTTGAGTACATGTAGATTGGTTTTCCGATCTCTTTATGAACTTTTTGAAGCGTCAAGTGTCAGTTGTGTAGCTTTCAATGGAGGGACAGAAAGCTCTCAGATTTCATCCAAAAGATCTTCATTTCATTTAAAAAAATAGTTTTGTGGCACTGTTCTTTTTACCCAAATATGTTTTGTTAAAGTAACACACATATATTTATTTTACCACCAAAACACTATTGTATTGCGTTTAATTAACTTAACCTGTATAATTTTCAACTATACTTAATTATCATTCGTTAAACTAATGTAAAGAGTTTAATTTCGCGATTCAAAAAACCCTGGATGTGACTATTTCCAACGTATTGGATGAAGATGCCGTGTGAAGAAAGTGGAAAGGTGCATGGCCTCAGAGAAAATATAAAGTTAATCTAAAGGCAAAGTCTTTCATTTCTGTGAGTATTTCGGAAAGTCTGTCCTGGAATGCTTTAAATATATTGCAATGAAAAAATAAATATTTTGGCTGCTTGTTCAAATTGCTTCAAATGAGCTTAAGCAACACAATTGCTACATTTTGTCCAAACTTAATTTGATTGTGTTCAATCTGCTTAAATATGTAAAATTAAAGTTTACTTAATCCGTTTGTGTTGGATTACATGAATTATTTGTGTTGCATTAACTTAAACTGGGCGGTGCTTGTTAGTTCCCAGCATGCTTTGCATATAGCTGAATTAAGAGAGAATAAATGTTGAAATTAAGTGTTATTTTATGTGTTTTTGAGAAAATGAGGAAAGGGGAAGACTTTATAGTGTGTAATTGTGTTTAATGTTCAATTACATTGCAATTATTAGAACCATTTAAATTACAGTGGGTTACCATTGTGGAGAAGAGGGGAGCATTTGGTTAGGAATGTGGACTGATTAATAACATAACTCTTGTTGCTGAAAGAGCATATACATCTTAGCATTTAATATGTTAATAAGTGCTATTATATGCTAATAGCAAGCTATAGTATAGAATTTCAATTGAGAAATTATGTAAATCCTAGATACTTTTAATTGTCAGTGAAGATTTAAATAAACTAAAGCATGTTCACTAAACTTAACCGGTTTAAGTTACAGGGAAGCAATTCCATTGATTTGTTTGGACTCATTCAGTTGTGTTGTCACAACACAAGGAGCTTACATAGATTAAAAAAATCCCATTAATGTTAATAAAACGCAATTTGCTTGTGTGGAACCACTGTCCATAATTAAATTAAGTAAGTTTAAAGAGTAATTTTTTGAGTGCTGAAAATGAACAAAAGTCTTACTGGTTTGGAACAACATAAGGGTGAACAATTAATGACAGAATTTTCATTTTTGTGTTAACTAACCCTTTAAGACTAAACCTCAAGTGTCATAACACCATCAAATGAAGTTCTGATAGAACTGTAGTGTAGAAATTGTTTTGCTTAAAACTTTTAGGTTTACAAAACTAAAGCCAGTTCCAGTAAAAGCAGCTGAGTGGGAGAGAACCTCAGAGAATAGATAGACCTCAGGGCCAAACTAACATAAGGGCTAGATGGGGCATACGCCCCATGACGTGAGCAAGGAAGAGGCCCGTGATTGGCAATAATAGACCTAGATTGACTAGCACGTAAACTTTGTTGACACCTGTTCGAATTGCACTTTCAGTTGGATATTAATAGTTTAATTATCAGTAAAATGGCAGAAATTAAACCAACCCAACCTGCATTGCTGCACCAAAGATCTACCACACCTCATTCTATTACATGCAAACAAAAATCTCAGGTAGCTTTTGATACACTTTAGTCAGACACTCCCACCATGTTTGTCTAAACTAAAGCATGCGTGACACTGCTTTGATGCTCCTCCAAAAACTCAAATAATGTGGAAAGACCTGAATAATCAAGTCATTGACACTGTGATTTTATCTTTGTTTTCTTTTGAAATTTATTGTGTAGCCTATATACTGACATTTAGCAATTTCAAATAAGGAAATAAAGCGTACTTTTCAACCAGTCATCTCTAAAACGCAGCCTAACGGGTGGTCTCTAACAGCTCAGCTTCAGAGTTTAACAGAGAACTGAAGATATGCATGCAAAACACCACTATATAAAGGCTACTGAAAAAATGTATATTTCTGCCTGTGCATTAAACATGTATCCTTGAGAATATCACAGGACTTGGACAGCATTATTTCTTCATTTCTGCACTCAGTGTCTTCTTAAATGCCACATGAACTTTCACAAAAAGGCCTATGCTGATTTTGTGCTTGTAAGACTGGAAGAACTGGTTGATGGAATCAACCTCACCACAGGTCTATAAGACAAAGGACCTTGCTTGCACATTAACATTTGAACATCTCACACACACACACCCCGCACCCCCCTTCCTCTGAGTACCTTATCTACATTTCCTCTCTCTCTCAGTCAGTAACACTAAAAACTCACACAAGAATATATATGGTTTAATGTGAATGATTATCATTGAGTATTGTGTTTAGTATCATTTAAACTGTCGCAGGGTGAGTGGTACAAATGTCTCATTTCCAAATAAGGAAAACAAAAGGAAACCTCTCTAGGCACTCCCAAAGGTGTAAATTCATGAATGCTAATTTCCACTGTTCTTAGCAGATGGTCAACTTCTACCCCCAGTAATGGTGGGGGAATACAGTAAATTTCCACTAAACTCAAGTTTTACATATCAAATAAGGTCTGGCTATATAAGGAAAATGCAACGAGAGCTCAGGGCTCTTTCTGTATTTCAGATAGCCCGTGAGGTTAGCTCATGTATTTCTTAAATGTTGGGTTTGCATCTATTTCTCTTATCCTAGAGCATTTGATGTTTTGTATTGATGATCTTTGAACTGATAATGAAATTGACATAATACTTTTACCTGACATAATAAATTGTTATATTTGATTATTCTAACAGACTTTGACATTATTTTCATTGGAGTTAAAAGGAATAGTCAAACATTAACGTATATTTAATGATGCACAGATACCATTGAAAAACCTTTTCATTTTATGGAGTCAGATGAAACGAGTTAATACATAAGATAAAATGTTATGCATTTAATTAAAAATGCCTTTGCCATGGGAAGAGACGGAACACGCGTGAGACCTTCACCGCTAATTTGAATGCCGCCATTGGATCAAATTAGACGGCCTTACAGTGCTCATTTCTTATTATTATCAATGTTGAACACAGTGGTGCTGCTTAATATTTTTGAGGAAAAAGTCATATGTATTTTTTCAGGATTCTTTGATGAATAGAAAGTCAAAAGAACAGCATTTAAAGGAAATAGAAATATTATGTAACAATGTATACCTTTATTGTCAATTTTGATTATTACAGAGCATCCTATAAATATTAATCTTTAGAAAAGTACTTGTGTGGTGTGGTGTGGTGTGGTGTGGTGTGGTGGTGGGGGGGACATACAATCGGTTCTATAATACACATCAAGTCAAACCCTGAATATTGATAACCAACCAGATTATATTCATTATTAATTAAAAATTTCTTTGCATTATGTTCATCTAATGTCAAATCAACAATAACACATTTTAATTTATGAATTAAAAAAAAAAAAAAAATCTAAAGTGTCTTCACGTTCTGTTTTCACTGGAGGAGCGTACCGGCCTACTTCGAACACTGTGTATATCATCAATACAGGTGAATGTCATTAAATAATCGTGTAACTGAAACTCAGAGTCCTCGTCCTTCTCACCACCCTCTGTACAGACTGATCAGCTCCCTTTCCTGAAGTTCTAAGATCGTCTGGGTCTCAATCCCTCCACTGTGTTTACCAGTGCGTTTGAAATTCTTGGGCGTGTTTTCGAAATAGTGGTGCCAAGTGCCTTTACTGTTTGCGCCAAAGCCAAACACACTGACCTAAGCACAGAAAAACCCATCAGCAGAAGTACCTGACATTAGTGCACAGCACACAAACTGCAGACAGTAAGCCACACAAGCTCTGTGAATGCTAAAAGCTTTACCTCATCACAGATGTGCAGGGCGAACATCAGCACAAGGAAACCCGTGGATGGATAAGATCTTCGAGACTTAATGTGCAGCCACGTAGTGTGCACATAATGCATGAAAGCAGGGTGTATAACCATCACCTGGAAGAACGAAAGGACCGTTAGCGAAGAACAAAAAGGAACTTTGATGTTGTAGCCTTTACAAGCTACTTCAGAATCTACAATGGGGTCTAAAAGTCTGACGAGATCTGGGACTCAAACCCAGATAATGAACAAATCATTTTAGGATTCAAACCGATTTTAAACAAAGAAATGTTCCAATAGCTATGTTGTAAAGGCTCCTTTAAGAGAGGACTTTTATTCTGACATAGTGCATTGTTTTCGGACTGAGCACTCTCGTGAGTGAAGCTGCTGTTGGCCTGCTGAACTGTTATGTTGCACCGATTGCTGAAAGGACATTTATTTTTGCTATCTGTAATATTTGCTGCAGAAGTTACCTTGAGGTGTTAGTCATTGACCTACAAATAAGCATGTTTGCCTTATGTTTGTGTTTATTGAGAGCGAGGAGTCACGTGCCGATTTGGCGCCGGTCAGCCATGATGGTAGGAGACGCTATCGGTTGCCAGGGCAGGGCAACGCCTTCAGAACTTCACAGAGGCGCGACTAAACATTCCAGATATAGCGAAAGAGAGACAGCGCAGCTTAGAGTTTGTTTACATTTTAGCGATTCGCCGCAGCTTTATTTAGAGAAACTGCTTGTCAATAATCTGACAGCAGCTTCAGCGAGCAAAGCCTGCTTTCAAAAGCAACACATTTCAGCACAGTTCGCCTTTTATTTAACACAAACGAACGAAATGAATACTCTGTTATTCAACTAGAGTTGTTTAATTTGTTATAGGTATATCTGTACCGCGAAATGTTTTAAAAAGACACTTTTTTTTAATGACGTACGACTCGCATTGACAGAATGTCCGAACTGTTCGCTTAACGTTGCACGGCAGGTGCAAATGCACGTATCTGATTCATATCAGATTTATTTCCACATATGAATGAGGCCTGAAACATCAAGTATGACTGAACTCTCGCAGTTTAGCGTTAGGTTACATGTTTGGGGATTTCTAAGTCTTGCACCCAGCCGCAGCAGAATTGTTTATAAGCTTCTAATGACATAAAGCGTGCATCGTGTAGGCAGTAACGTTAGGCACTGATATAAACCAGGTAATTGTCTATGTCAGGGTATGTGAAAGGTGGTAGCTGCTAGTGCTTTGGGTCTTTCCTCCATTCTGTAGCAGGTCGTACGGGTCCATGTTGTTGATGTCAAGTAGTTTCTCTAAATAATGCTGCTTGGTGTTGTTATTTAGTCTCTCCCGATAGAGCCCCTTTCCTTTTGCTTCTCCCTTCTTCATTTATTCCAAAGAAACTGTGCCTTATCGCAAAAATGCAAACAAATATCAAGCTGCTCTCTCTCTCTGTCGCTATTTCTCTCGGTCTCGCGGTCGAAGTAACCATGACAACGGATCGCGTATCATTCCAAGATGGCGACGCCTTCCACAATGCAACGCGCTTGACGTCACATATTCTCATTCTCAATAGACCAATTTTCAGCCGACGTCACAGTTACGTCACGGCGCTAGCTGGTGGCAGAACAAAGGGAAAACTGGAGGCGGCAAATACAAACCAGCACAGATTCGGCTACAAAATAAGGATCTTAAATTATTCTTCTTCTTATTAAATGTCATCTTGTTGTGTTGTTGGGTGCAAGAATCAATGAAAAATTAATATGCTTTATCTGCAATTTTTTATTTCTAGAAATATTCGCCTCATTAAAATTGCACCGTAATGTCCCTCTTTACATTGTCGTCTTCTCGGCGCTGGCTAGGCAGAACTGCAGATCGTACCACACAAGTCTTGTACATGACCATTCAGCACATAGTTATAGGCATCTAAAGATTTACATGCCCTCCGTTTCTCTATCAGGTAGGCGTAGAAGTCAGGCCACTCATCCGGAGGTAACGTTAACGTTAATCCTGTCAGATCCTCAATGAGTGTACGGGTCGGCCAATCTGGTTCCGTCCGATTAAAATTAACTTTTGCAAATAACAATCGTGGTCCTGGACAGTGAGTGACCTTGCACATTAAGATAAAATCGGATTTTCTCCAGTCATTGTTAAAAACAAGCTAACAAAACTTGCAGACTTTACGTTAGTGAAGCGGCCAGAGGGATCGTTCTGCCACCACTTAAGCTCCGCCCACATAAAAACGTCACCATGTTTACCAACTGAAAATTGGTCTATAGAGGGTATGCGCATGACGTCACCGTCGGCCGGAGTGAATGCGGTCACGCCCACAAGTGGCAAAAAGACTGAGCGGCAGCATTTGTTTTCAGCGTGAACGCCGTGAAAATCACACAAAACACATCTAAAACGGGAAAGAGCTTTGCGATTGACTGTACAACTAGATTTGACCAGAAATCTGAGGTACTGTATATTTTTACAGACTGCAAAAAGCTACAGAACAGACTATATTCTGCATAATTAGATGTTTTTAAATAAACACTGACAAAAAACTATACAAGTTTTAGGGCTGGACGATATGATGATATACAGTATAACATTAATGTAAGTGATCACTCGGATTTAGACCTATCTATATTGTATTTATATAAAACGTTTACAGGCAAATTGTCTTCATTTATTTCCCCGGCGTCGAAATCAGGCACATATAAATGTCAGGAAACACGATTCCTGGCTGCATGTCAATATCCATGGATCACTGGATCTTTGATAAGTTGTAAGGAACACTATATCGAGTCCAACTTTTAGTTTAAACTGATAATAGTTTGTTTTACTCGCGTTAACGCAGTTTCCCCTATTAACTCCAGTCACGCAGCAGCTCTTCTGCCACTCAGTCCCGCTGAGGGGGGCGTGTTCCGGCGGGGAAGTGACGTTAATGCATTCCCTCTATAGAGATTGGTGTTTAATTATTTATAACTGCGTCACACAGGCATGTGCAGACATGCCCTCACCTGTTTCTGTTAGTCTAGCTTAATGACGCTGTTCCATATGTGATTATTTCTTCTTTATTGAGATGAATATCACTGGGGGTTTTTTTTTGACGATTCTTTTGGGATGTGAATTCATGATTTCTTATGGTCTATAAAGTATAATGTGATACCTTATTGTCCTTTATTGGATTGTATATTCCAATATATTTGGCTGCCTTTATGTACCAATTGATGTTTATTATTGTATGCCCAGCTATTTTTTGTTATTCTCTATCCTTTATATTTCTTGTTGAAGTTGCAGCAATCTGTGGGTTTTTCCCCCTACATCTTAAATGAGTTGCGTCACAGAGCACGCAGTCGAAACCCAATACACGCTGTCATGTTATCTTACGTGCGGGTGGCTGGTGTTTGGGTATGCAATCATGTGTGATGCTTCTGGGAGGGAATTAAACCAAGTCATTCTGATGACAAACTTTGGCTCAGGCATTTCAGAACGACCAAACCAGTATTAAGATGCTATGCAATTAATTTGGTCCAGTTATGCAATCACCTCCTCTGTTGAGGCAAAGTCACGTGAGCTTTTTGTTGCAAATCGAGTTATGTGTTTCCATCGTATTCTTACATGATAAAAATGAATCTGCCTCAATTGAGCACATACATTTTTTATGCGCATTTGTAGAATTTATGCGTATCTTGGCGTTTCCATCCAGCATTCTTTCATGCGATATCACAAAATGTGCATAAAAATAGGTGCATGGAAACATAGCTGATGTCAAATGAAGTGTTTATAGCAGAGGTCTTCAAGTTCAACCCTCTTCCTAGAGGCCCACTGCGCTGCAAACTAGTTTATATCCAACCTGCAGATCCTGAAGAGCTTCATTAGTTCAGCAGTGTTGAAATAGGGTTGGAGCGAAACTCTGCAGTGACCTCCAGGAGCAGGAATGAAGACCTATCTTTAGTGTCACCGATCTGTGGTGACACTAAAGGGTTTCCATGGCATGCATTGTACACTTTTCTCAAGCCTAAAGTAGTCTGTGTGCCATAACATTAATCTCCACAGCAGTTATGTCTCTCAGGTGGAGTTTGAAGAGACAAAGCGTACAACTATAATGACCAATTATATCAATTCAAAGGTCTTTAAATAAACTCTTTTCTGTTGAATGGTTAATCGTTTTCGTTGGTTTATTGTTAACATAAAATGTAGATACTGTGTGATCTTACTTTGTCCTTGTTGGCTCGTAGCTTGTCTATAACCTTAAATCGTGTTCTGTTGAGTAATACAGAAACAGAAAAAAGGGTCAAAACAATCCAAGACATAATTGATGACAAAATGTACATGTGTCCAGTGTTGGGGGTAACTTATTACAAGTAACTTGAGTCTCGTAATCAGATTACTTTTTCAAGTAACTAGTAAAATAACGCATTACTTTTAAAATTTACAACAAAATATTTTCAAATAAGTAAAGCAAGTTACTTTGTTTTCCCATTTATTGACTGACAGCTCTCTTGTCCTCATGTTGAGACAAATAATCGAAGTGCAGAGGAATTTCTGAAGAATCAGAATACTATGCAAACCTCTAATAACTAAATATGTTAAATAAAACATACATTTTTTTGCATTTAATCTCACTTTTGGTAAAGTAACTGTTAAGCTTTTTTCTCCTATTCTTCCGTTCTCCAGAAAAGCAGCAGCTGAAAGGTTTGTTGGTTCGCTTTACTCTACTGTATACGCGTGAATTTGCATTTCCTTCAGCATGAGGCTTATTATTTCACTTTTGCTGTGAAAGGGCCTTTACATTTGCCCAAACGTATAACTTTTTTCCCCAACACTGCATATGTCATTCAAGATATAAATACTAACCAATCATCATCATATTTCACCTCCAAATCAAAAGACATAAAATTACATTTTGCTTATATAGAAAATGAAGCTTTTTTTTTTTTTTGCATGTGTGTGTATTTTAAGCAAAATTGTTCTAAAAAAAATCGTATTACCATAGTACAAAAAATGTATTGCAATAATATTTAGATTGTAAATTATTTAAACATTAGGGTATAGAACGATTTGTTGTACTGCATTTTTGCTGATATAAATATATAGCTACTGTATATATATAGGATTTTTTCTTTCCTTTCATTTTGCGATTCTGCAGTATGTGACTTATATATATATATATATATCCATTATCTCACCGTTTAATAGTTCCATCAGTAAGAGCACTGGTGACCCACTGGATATCCAGTGTTTTGAAGGGCAACAACACCAGGTGGGTGGTGTTGTCCAGATGAGTGGCACTTTCTGGGTACAAGATGCGGTGGGAGGTCCTGGATCCCACATCTTTCTCATAACCTTCAACTGGTGCCTTGTTCATTCTGAAGGAGACAGAAATATAATATTAAAGTCATATTAAAATCATAATTAAAAAAATTTGATTCATCAATGTGGACCTATGTCCATTTTCAAATTATTGATTCAGTTTTTTTTTTTTCTCTACTAGAATAGGTTTTCATGCTTGATTTCCATATTTGGCAGCTGCAGCACCTCTCTTCCCAGTCTGTCAGTAATGCTCTGTTTAATTCCTGTCTCTATGAAGCCCCTTCTTTCTGAAAACCACAATGTGATCTGATTGGTCAGCTGAAACAGTGTTGTGATTGGTCAATTGCTTTGAGTGTGTTTGGGACATAACACGTCCCTTACCATAATGCAACTCAATCAGGCCTTGTTCCCCCTTTTTTTTTTGGTATGCCTTTGAATTATTTAAATAAGGAATATTGCGGCGTGTAAGTTCCCAGAAGAAAACTCAATACTACAGTGGAGGCATTTCAGGGAGTTCAGAAACAATGCACAACAATACACACTAAAGAAAGTTGAAATTAAGAAAAAGCATAACAGGACACCTTTAAAAAAAAAATGAGTTTACCTCATTACAAAATCATGACTGTCAATAAGAGGACCATAGAATGATCCTACAAGGTTCCCAGAGTTCCCCACCACAGCACAGGTTCGGCAGCGAGACGGACCAGCGTCTCTGTAGTGTTTTCCTCCAGGAATGACAGAGAACAGCTGCTGAATCACTTGAGAATAACTAGCTTTGCTCTTAGTCGACTGTAGAGACTGTGGGTGGATTAAAAACAAATCTAATGTCACAGTGACGCAGGAAAGTGCACTTCTACAATCAGCATGAAATTATAATCAAATAAAATCAATATAAAGAAGATTAGATTTGAAAATCACCAAGAACAATGTATATAAACTAGCAATAATGATTAGTTAAAAGACATTAAAACTTTACAAAATATTTCTATTTTAAAAAAAAATACTGTTTTTGAACCTTCTGTATTCTTTCCTAAATGAAATGTATCAAGTTCACACAAAAATATAACCAACACAACTATTTTCATAATAATACGAAATGTTTCTTGACCCTCAAATCAGCATATTAGAATGATTTCTGAAAGATCATGTGACACTGACGATGCTAAAAATATATTTTCTAATATATTTTACATTTAAATATATCAAAATAGAAAACCGTTATTTTAAATGTTAATATTATTTCACAATGTTAATGTTTTTACTGTATTTTTGATTAAATTAACAAACATAAAATAAATTACAAGTTATATCGTTAGAAAACCCATGTTCCATTGTTCTCCTTCTACAGTCAATTTAAAGAATTGACTCCCATTCGAGTCATCATTGTGAATTTTCGCAGAATTGCCCACACACCTCAGAAAAAGGACTGCATTGCAATTCAAAGAATTTCAAAGCAGTCACACAACCGTATCAATTCTTTAGACCGACACAACAACAAACTGAGTCAGAACTGGTATTTCATGTTGTTGATTAGATCCACTATGAAGATGTTTACAGTCTATGGTATTGCCGGCTACAGAGATGAGTCCTAATAAATCGAGACCATCCCGAAGTTTCCGTTGTCTCTGAGTTTATTCTTGGTATCTACGATACAACACATAGCATTTTCCTTCAGGTCAGTCCTATATTCCTAATAAAAAATCTCTTTCTAGCCTGTAAGAACTCGATACTGACGCGCGTCTTTCTGTGGGTCGTGTGTGTGTGTGTCAAGGTAGGGCTGTAATGTTGTTGCGCGACATTCAGCAACTGAGAGATGACGTTCTGACAATTTTTTATGCTTTAGATATCCCCTATTTGGCATGTTATGTTTTGCAGTTAATTAGTCAGATAGATAATTATATACATTTTAAATATTGTTTATCCTTATTATTATTTATGGGCCTAACAACTTCATTGTCTAATGTGACATTTATTCGAACATCTTCTGGTCAGGTATGACAAATATTTAACTTTATGCCAAAAGTTAAAAGCCATTATGAATCCAAAATTGCTTTAATGAGGAGAAATTGATTTCAGCACTCCTTGAACAGGAAGCGACTTAAGTGCGTATAGGACTTGTTGCACTTTAATGGTTTTTCCTTTTTTTGGAAACGCACAGAGAACATTTTTTTATTGTAACCGCTCGCACACCTGTTTATTTTTCCTTTGATTTGTCGTCTCATTCGTTTCTTTGCTATATTTCCTCATGTCTGCTCATGATAGTTAACGTTCATCACTCCCTGTATATAATGTTTTTTTTTCTCACAAATGTATGACTTTTGGAAGTGCAATTTGATTACCATATGCTTAATAAAGTTGAATTAGCTCACCTTACTATTCAAAGTGTACACTTGCAGGTGTTGATTATAATTAATTTACTGTTAGGCCCATAAATAATAAAGATAAACAATATTTTAAAAGTATGTAATTATCTAACATATGACTAATTAAAAATTAACCACAAAACATAACATGCTAAATGAGGGATATCTATATCTAGTGTGGTGGTATGGGGCCTATGTGAATATGAAGGCCCCAAAACCTCTTATAGAATTGGCACTCTTTGAGCTTATTTTGGTGGGTGAAAAGTATTGGAAAAATAACTATTTATTATTATATTATAACTGCCCATTTTCCCTAAGTTGAAGTGAGACTAGATTTTAAACATTGCCTTATTTTTTATTTGCCTCATTTGCATAATGTTTCATTGCCTAATTATAAATGATCCAACAAAATGGGCCTAGAGAGCGCAATAGAGTATGTTTTAGCATAGTTATTAAATTTGAACTGTAAAAAGTAAAAACGTACACCCTTCACTCTACAGTTGTTTGAACGACTGTAAAAGATGCACCTTCAAATAAAAAAGTAGATATTCGAATACATTGCTTGATATTTGATATCCGTTCGAATTTGATTTTTCTCAAAAGTGACAGCCTTAATGAGGGGTGGACCTCAGTTCTTCTAGATCCAGGGGCAAGAGAAGTTTTCTACATTTTAAAGTTAAATGCATTAATCTGAACTTTTAGAGTTCAGAAATATAAGAGCTCAAACCCATGTTCAGCAGGCAGACACGTAAAAAAACGGTAATTTTCTGGCAGCAGGGGCGCCAGAAAATGTCTGTTAAAAAACGGAAAAATACTGTCAGGAAAAAAAACAGTACAAAAATTGTAATTTCTTATCCTATAATTATGGTTTATTACTGTTATTCTACACAAAAATATCTTTCATTATCTGATATAATGTTAATTTGCTGACATATTGAAGTATTAATATCTGTTTTGTACCATAGTAATACACTGACAACCAACAATCGCAGCAATGATGAGAGTCACATGATCAATCAAAGCTCATCACAAGCAGCTCTTCCACAAGAGAGTTAATACTAATATATAGAAACTGCACAGTGTGATTCGCACAAACATTAAACACCATCATGGTAACACATGAAATTTAAAAAATGCAATAAACATTAGTTTAACAACATTAAATGTAACATAAAACCCTAATATACATAACTGATTCGAAAAAAAAACTAGGAAAATTATAAAGAAACAGTTATTTCAACAAAAACTCATCAAATGTGAAGTGTCACGCAGGGAATTGTGGGAATGTCAATTTACGGTTTTTCACTGTAAATTATACAATGACTTGTTCTTTTTAACTTTCAAAAACTGTAAATTTACATTAAATGTACCATTAGATCTATCACAGTTATTTACCGTATATAGTACGGAAACTTTCTGTTAACCAATTAACAGTTTTTCACTGTAGCATTTTTACAGTCTTTTACCGTTAAAATCACGATCATTTTTTACAGTGTACAATATCTGTGTTTTGGTGTTGTCCGCCACCAGAGTTTTCACTTGTCGTAACAAATCTCAAACATTATCACAAATTAATAAATTAAAAAAATGCATATGAATTAGGCTAAATGTTACCTGAACTAACAAATGCACAGATTAAGCATATGCATTTTGTACTTAATTTTCTTCATTTCTACCTGTTCCATGGTTTAGCTGTCATTACCAACACACTCTGCATAAAGGAATTGCATAAAGGCACTTTTTAACAGTTTTTTCATCAAAGGTTTATTCGGTAGCCATGGTAACCTAATAGCATAGTGAAGCACATGGATTTCAAGCTGCAAGACTGATGCCTTGATGTCCAGAAAAGTAATAAATCTCTTTATTCTTTGTGTTGGGCACACTTATTATGCGTCATTACCATATGTGTTGTATTTCTGTATTTTTAAACATTTTGGGATTATTTTGATCACTTTATTAGTTAAAAAAGTGTACATTACATGTAGAAAGCTAGCTACACTTGCTTAGTCATCATCTTTGTTAGCAAGGCTAGTTTTTTTACTAAATTGTCATTCCCAGCACAGTCATTAGCAGCACATTACAGCTTGTGCTGGTAATGACAGGTTGTGGTAGTGATGACGGCAGATACACACAGTTCCTGTTTGGTCTTCCATAATCAGATTAAACTATGTTTTAATGTTTAAACCAATTAATAGCTGGTGGTTTTTTAGTTTTTTTTTTGGGTCTGAAGTCACTTAGGCTCTTAAATTACAATAGGTTATGATCAGTGATTTGTCATCACCGCAACAAACGGTCATTACCAGAACTGCAATGTCATCACCATTACCATTACCATACATATTTTTTGCCAATAAATGATGTATAAATTACAAAAACATCCTACAATTATATATTTCTGCCAAAGTTGGACAGTCTAAATTATCACTGAATTAAAAAAGTTTTGATATATGGCATTCACTTAAAATAAGCTTTTATTCCAAGCCAGGGTAGATCGATGAATCAGAATATATAGGCTACCACAAAACACCAATAAAATGTGTTAAAATCATTAGTAAGAGCCATAAAATAAGTCTAGGCTTGTTTTTGTTTATAGCCTACTAATTTGTGGTGCTAAAATGTAAATAGAATTACGCCCTCTGGACGGAAATAGGCCCGAATTCTGGGAAATACCCATTCATTGTTTGAATTTCGTAATAAAATTGACATAATTTGAAAGCTGAGACTTTGTTATAATAAGTAACCTGCCTTGTCTTGTCTATCGATGTCAGGGTCCTCTTTGCCTCAGGATTTATCATTGCGTTAAAAAAAACGGAGAACAGTGACGTGTCAACACGATGCGCGAGATTTGGCAGCGTCATACTGTTTATTAAAAACTGAAAATAATTCCAGCCCTTGGGCCTTAGGAGATACCTTTACAAGTCACAATCCTTCCCTAGGTGGTTACAAAAATATATAAATAATAGTAGATAAATATGTGATGTGATGTGATGTGACAAGACAAGAGAGTGTGTTTCTTAAAGTTTATTTCTTTGACGATTGATGTTTCCTGCTCAATCGCTCGATTATTTGATTGCTTGCCTTTTCCCTTGGGGAGTGATTGCCTGGAGGAGGCGGCGCGGCGGCACGAGCGCTGCTCAAACGATACACAGACTCTCATGATTGATGCAGCAGCAGCTCCGTGTCCTGTGTGTATTTAATACAGATTTCTCCCCTCATCAGGTATGGAAAACATTGATGCAATGAGAGTATGTTTTTGACATGTCAGAGTTTTGATAAATGTAAACTAGGCTACATTGTTTAAAGTGTTTAATAAGTTAGTTATTACTGAAATGTAAAAGTTCGCTTCAAGTTCACGTCTGTGTGCTGTGTGGTCGTGTGTGCTAGTTGCTCATTTCATGCTAGTGATGGAGACCGATCTCAGAGAGATGGCGCCAG